TGGGATTACAGGCACACACCACAATGTCCAACTAATTTTTGTATTTTTAGTAGAGACGGGGTTTCACCATGTTGGCCAGGCTGTTCTCGAACTCCTGACCTCCAGTGGTCCTCCCACCTTGGCCTTCCAGTGTGCTGGGATTACAGGCATGAGCCACGGTGCCCAGCAGGCACAACCATTTTAGAAAAAGTTTGCAGTTAATCATACACCTACCATATAATCTAGCCATTGCACTCCTAGGTATTTATGCAAAGGAAAGAAAGCATAAGGCTATACAAGGCTTGTACACAAATGTTCAAAACAACTTTATTTGTAATAGTAAAAGAAAGAAAACTCAAATGTCCATCAACAGGTAAATGGATAAACACGGGAGCTTATCTATACATACAATGAAACACTACTTAGTAATATAAAGGAGTGAATTATTGATGCAGGAAACATGGATGAATAAAAATAATTACTAGTGAAAGAAATAAGACAAAAACAGAATAAACTCTATACAATTGCATGCATATGAAAATCTAGAAAAACAAAGCAATCTATAGTGACAGCCAAGAATGGTTGTAAAGGACTGAAGAAGGGAGAAGGACTGGATGCGTGCCGTGGCTCACACCTGTAAACCCAGCACTTTGGGAGGCCGAGGCAGGCAGATCACTTGAGGTCAGGAGTTCGAGACCAGCCTGGCTAACGTGGTGAAACGCTGTCTCTACTAAAAATACAAAAATTAGCCAGGTGTGGTGGTGCGCGCCTGTAATCCCAGCTACTTGGGAGGCTGAGGCATGAGAATTGCTTGAACCCGGGAGGAGAAGGTTACAGTGAGCCAGGATCGTGCCGCTGCACTCCAGCCTGGGCAACAGAGTGAGACTCTGTCTCATGAAAAAAACAAACAAAGAAAAAACAGAACAAAAAGATTTTTTAAAAAGTGGGGGAAGAATTGGAGGGAGCAATTACACAGGAGCACTGAATATGTTCACTATCTTGATTTTGGTGATGGTTTCATGAGTATATACTGTAAAGGAACATAAAAAGTCTCAAAACCCCCAAACTTAATATGCCAAAGGGAAAGTTAAGTCTGCTTACTTCGCAGCCTTGTGTCAAAGTGCTATACATTAGCCAGATCCCTACAAAAGGAAAAGGTCTCGGGTATTTCCAGATGACTGCCTTCACAAATTGCTCATAAGAAAATTCTTTCCTAGCTCCTAAACTTTTCAAGGTGTATAATAAATCCTCCCATAAATAAGGACATGTCAACTGTCACTTTAAGTCTGCAACTTAAGTCTAACTCCTTGTCCAGGAACCTAAAGTCTGGTCAATTTCACACTGATCGTGTCAATTATAAGCCTTATCTTCCCAAGTGCAAAAACAAAGATGAGATCCATTATTCTTCTACCTATCCTGAGAAGTCTGAATAATGAATTCCTCCTTTACTCCCTATTTTTGAATGTTTGCCCTTATCTCATGTATAGCATAGATTTACTGGGCACTAATTAAAATCTCACAAGAATGTCGTCATTTGCCTCACTGCCTATCTCCCTTTTCCTGCGTGTCTTTTCTCTTAAAGAAATGTGTAAATACTGAATCTCCTGAAACCTTTCCCAAGGAGCATAGGCCACAGACTCATGTTTCTGTGACTCGGGGTTTTCCTGGGCACACTTTTAAGCTCTGTCTCAATAAACCTGGATTGATTGAGATTCTTGCCTCAGTCTCTCATTTGGGTTGACAATACATATGTCAGGACATTGGATTGTACTCTGTAAACATGCAAAGTTGCCAATGTGAAACTATGTCAAATATACCTCAATAAAGCTGTTAAAAGTAAATTTGTAAAATGAGATACTGATATGTAATGTTGGTTATTTTACTCACGTATTTGCCTTTTCTTTCATTTAACAGAGTTTATTGAGTGTCTAACTGTGCTAGAGGCTAAAAGAAGAATGAGATGGTCTGCTTTCAAGTCTAGACAGTGACAGTTCTGCTTGATATTCTTGTTGAACATGCCCATAGGAAGCTAAGAAAATAGGAAGATTAGTGTGTAGGCTGACGTGTTGGGGGAAGGCTTTTCAGAGGACCTTAACCTTGAGCTGAGTTCTGAAGGACGAGTAGGTAGTTTGGACAGTGAGGAGCAGTTGGGGGTGGGAGGCAGTGGCAGCTTTCTGTCTTCAACAAGGCCTAGGGATGAGAGAACAAGGTGCTGTGGGAGGAAAACAAATTGCAGCAGAGAGGGGAGAAGAGCGTATTGAAAAGAGGGCAGGATAGGTTAAGTTAGGACTGATTAGCATGGGCCTGGAAAGCTGTAGTCAGGATTCCAGCTGTACCAATGAAGGTCTAGGGAGCTAGAGCGGGTTTTAGGCAAGGGAGAACACAGATAGCCTGCTGATGAACAGCACAGGCCAGTCGAGTGGAGCAAGAGAAACCATCTTGCCCTGAGGTTGGCCAGCATTATGGTTAAACGTGTTTATTTAATTAGTCTCCAAGTCCTGCTAATAGCTTATCCTTAATTATTTTCAGATGTCCCAATTCTTTCCATCCCTTCGCAGTTACCTTAGTTCTGCCTCTGTTATTGTTTGCTTGGATTACCATAATATCCTCCAATGGCGGTTTCCTTGTCTTCAGTCTTGCCCCGACTCTAAACTCTTTGCTACCTGCAGCATAAAACATTTTTCTAAACTTCAAGTCTGATCCTCTCAGCTTTAACTGAAAATCCAATCTGCTGCTCATCAATCTCTGTGTTTCTAATAATGATCATCACTGTAATAGCACACTTAGCAAGCATTTACTACATGCCAGGAACTGAGCTAAACACAGTGTGCTTTTATCTTATTAACTCTTCCTCAAACATTATTATTATCATCACTGTTTTACAGATGAAGAAACTGATTATCAAGAAGGTTTAGTAATGTGTCCAAGATCATACAGCTAATAAGTGTAATTGAATAACTTGTTGAAAAACCAAAAACCCCGTAAAGACAAAGTTGGGTAGGGAATAGAGTTTTTTACTTGCACCTGCAAGAGGGACTAATTATTAGAGAACTGGCTTTGTAAACAAAAATGTAGGGCAGGTAGTTAAAGTAAAAAAATCATGAGGATAGACAACAGCTCAAATTGTTATCAGTTCACAAGTTTGCTTGGATGTACGTGGGTCAATTTTGTTAAAATCTAGATGGTCCTTTCTATTACGAAATTACAGCGCATCAACACCAAACAACAGAAAAGAAAATCCGTATGTCCCTGTTTTTCATGCTTTATCTGGGACTACAGGAAGGGTAGGCCTTTTCTAGACTATGGAATCTAAGCTTCAGAAAAAAAAAATCATTTAAGCTGCAATATAAAGAATAGTTTTGGCCAGTCATGGTGGTTCACACCTGTAATCCCAGGACTTTGGGAGGCAGAGGTGGGCGGATCACTAGGTCAAAAGTTCGACACCAGCCTGACCAACATGGTGAAACCCCCTCTCTACTAAAAATACAAAAAATAGCTGGGCGTGGTGGTGCACGCCTATAATCCCAGCTAGTGGGGAAGCTGAGGCAGGAGAATGGCTTGAACCCAGGAGGCGGAGGTTGCAGTGAGCCGAGATCACGCCACTGCACTCCAGCCTGGGCGACAGAGCAAGACTCCATCTCAAAAAAAAAAGAAAAAGTCTCAAGAAAGGCAGAATTAAAGACAAGTTATAGGAACCCAGGCAAGCCATTATAATGCCAAACTAAGGCAATGGCAGGAGGGACAGAAAGAACTGGACCAGTTTTCAAAGCCTTATAGAACAGGAAAGGCATGTTGCAGTCCCTTCAGCCAAGTTGCAAGTTTTGAATGAGTTATCCAAACATTATTAAATGCATCTTCAGTTATGGCTACCAAACTTTTTACCAGGAACTCTTTTTTGTAGAAATGTTAGGTCAGCCTGTTCATTCTGGTTTCTTGGGCAGTGACTGGGATGTTCAAACTACTAATTGGGATAGAGCACAGAAGCTGGTTAAAAACAATATTTTTTACACAAATTGATCTTGAACATGGATCAAGGTTCACTGTTCGCAGGAGAATCGGAGAGTGTGTGGTAATGAAAAGTTATTACAGTTGAGAAAACGAGTTTACATTAGCAACTAATTAAGAAAAAAGCAGCTCATAAATGGATGAATGCAGGTCATAAACACATTATATCAGTTATTACATAGGAAATCTATGGCAGAATACTGTGAAATGCAAGGTGTGTAGCTTATCAACAAGAATATAGCAAGTACGCCATTCAACTAAGAAGGAAATGATAAGGCTGCATCTGGGGCTGCTGACTGGAAGCACAAAGTTTCCTTTCCTTGTAGTAGTTCCTAAAGATTCCAGTTTACATGGAAAGACAGAAAGCTGTTACACCCATGGCAGGAGCAGAGAACCCCAGCGACAAATTCTAATTTTGAACAGGCAGGTGCCAGTGTATTTCTCAAACTGCAAACTAAGATGCAGAAACACAATTTTCCTGTTTCTTAGTTTTGGACCATTTCCCACCCCCCCAGCACGCCAGAGCAGGTTTTAATTGTTGTCAGGTGAGATGGTGAGTTAACTTTGAGTGTTGAGTTGAGGGTCCAGTGGGATGTGGGTCCAGTTGAAAGGTGGATATATGTAGATCCAGACTCGACTGATATAGGCTGCAAATAAATTGATAGTGAATTTATGAATTATTAGAAAAGAAAGGACATTCATTATGATTTAATCGCAGTTGAATGTAGGCAGCACAAAGGGCTTATACTGTGTCTTTTTTTTTAATATACTGGGTCTATTTTGCTTACCACTCTATGTCCCGTGCCTGGAAGTGTGACTAGTACATAGTAGGTGTTGCACACATAGTTTCAGAATGAAATTTTAGAAATCAAAATTCTACAAACATTGCACACAGATTTATCGTTCTCTTATTTTCCGGGCGAGGTCAGGGCGCCCTTTGGTTTCGCGCTTCTGGCCCTTTAAGAAAGTGGAGGAGAAAGAAAGCGCTTCTGGGAAAAAGGGCGGGGCCGCGAGAGTCCGCCGTCCGTCCCGCCCACGTCCCGGCCGCAGCCAGCAGCTCGCGCTTGGCTCGGTTTTGGTAGCGGGACCCAGAAAATGTAAAGCATGCGCAGGAAGAGTCGCCAGGGTGAGTGACAGGCGAGCCCTGTGCTTTACTTCCGAGGGCGGTGTCAGCAAAGCTAGGTAAGGAGAGCGGGAGGACGGTGCCTGCCCCTTTAAGATCGACTCCACCCCGCCTCTGGAGGAAAATGACGCAGTCGTCTACAGTTTCTGGAACGTAACCCTTTTGATCCCGTCAGCTCTCCTTCTCATTAAGAGAAATATCAAGTGGCCCCCACAGTCACATACGTCATAACCCAGGCCTCATCGGTGCTGGGACGGGAGAGGGAAGCGCCGGTCTAAAGGACCTGGGGTCCAAATCCCAAATAGTCTCTATTTGCTCTGCGTTATAGGTTGCATTGTGTGATTCAAGTGACAGCCTAGTACTGCTTAACAAAATTAGTCTGATGGTAGACCAGGCCCTGAGAGACCCCTGCGATCCCAGGACACTGATGTGGGGTAACTAACACCCACTGGAAGTCTACGCTGAGTTCACAGGCTATGTATGACCTGACATGCATTTTGGGCCGCCCTGTGTTTTGATATTTGAACCAGTTGCTGGTGTTTAAAAGCGGAAGCTGGCCGGGCGTGGTGGCTCGCGCCTGTAGTCTCAGCACTTTGGGAGGCCGAGGCAGAAGGATCGCTTGAGGTCAGGAGTTCCAGAGCAGTCTGGCCAACATGGCGAAACCTCGTCTCTACACACGCACACAAAAATAGAAGAATTAGCCTGGCGTGGTGGCACGCGCCCGTAATCCCAGGACTCCGGAGGCTGAGATAGGAGAATCGCTTGAACCTGGGAGTCGGAGGTTGCAGTGAGTCGAGATCGCACCACTGCACTCCAGCCTGGGCGACAGAGACTCTGTCTCAAAAAAAAAAAAGAAAAAAGTGGAAGCTAGTGTGTCAATATCTAGATTTTTTCGATGATTTTGAGTAATCGGAGGGATCTGGCAGCATGTTCCTGCCTGGCCCTTTTGAACTGTTTGAAAACAGTCTCTAGCTTGCCACAGCCCCTGTGTTATTTTACAGCCAGCCTGCATCACTCATTTATGATGTCCAGCCCCTTGTAGGGATTTGGATTTTTGATCCCTAATCTAAATACTTTAGTGGATTTAAGACCATTTAAAACATTTATGCAGAAGAGATCCGAGGTCTCCAAACAACTGGGTGCATAAGTTGTGTTTAAGTTGTTGTTCCTCATTCTCATTTATTCTTATCAGCGTGGGGGTGTGTGTGTGTATGTGTATATATATGTATAAAACGTCTTAGTGATCAGTTGCACAGGTGTTTTTCTATTGGAGCAAATCTTTTCAGTTTAGGCTTGGTAAAATCGAACCATCAGATGCTTTTACAGAAAGAGATCTAGGAGTTGGTGTTCTTTTATTGCAATTAAATCCATACAGTATTTTTAAAGGAAAAAAACCTGAGTCTTGATTGCATTGTCTTCTGATATGACAATCTTTAGTGAAATACAGTAGTCAATATAATTTGTATTAATATATCTCTGCCCACAGATAATTATAAATTCATTAACCCCCCAGCTCTTGGCTAGACTTCACGAAGGCAAAAACTGTGTTTGCCCTGTTAACTACTTTATCCCACCACTAGAATAATAAGCTTCCTGAAGACACAAGACTTCTGTTATTTTGTTCAGTTACCAAGCGTGCCTACTTTGTTAAATTTCTGAAAGAAGTTGTACAGTTGGCCCACAATATAACAATATAGCAATGTAAAATTACAGCAATAAAAATAACGCAAAAATACAGTGTAACAACTATTTACATAGCATTTACGTTGTATTAAGTATTATGAGTCATCCAGAGATGATTTAAAGTATACCACAGCATATGCCTAGTATACCACAGCATATGCTTAGTTTATATGCAAATATGCCATTTTATATAAGGGACTTGAGGGAAGCAGGGGATACTGGAACCAATCCCTTGAGGATACTGAGGGATGACTGTATGCCTGATTTCCTGTAAGAGGCATTTTCTTGAGGATTCTTTCAAAATCAAATGCTTGTATATTTGTTGTGTTAAATTACTAAAAGGATTCTCTTGTGAAAAAGTATCATTTAAAAAGATTGGATTTTCCCAATTGATGCACCAAAGCTTTCATCTGAAATGAACTTGCACATGTGAGTCATCAGATACAGAGCTTACACTGTAATATTTTCTTTCTTTTTTTTTTTTTCTTTGAGACGGAGTTTTGCTCTTGTTGCCCAGGCTGAAGTATAATGGTGCGATCTCAGCTCAGTGCAACCTCTGCCTCACGGGTTCAAGCAATTCTCAAGTCGTGGAATTACAGGCACCCGCCATCATGCCTGGCTAATTTTTTTTGTATTTTTAGTAGAGACAGGGTTTCACCATGATGACCAGGCTGGTCTTGAACTCCTGACCTCAGGTGATCCTCCCACTTCGGCCTCCCAAAGTGCTGGGATTACAGGTATGAGCCACCGCCCCCGGCCAATATTTTCTTATTATGTAATGGGATCTGGAAATGTTGTTCTTCCTTGGAATTCTCAGTATTACTTTTTTTTTTTCCCCAGAGACTCAGAGGTTCCAGCTGAGATCAAGTTGGGAGACACACTCTTGTTCATTCTCCTTGAGAAGCAGCCATTATCAACAGAACATTGATAGAACCTGTGTTTGGGGAAAGGCCTGATGGCTTTGAGTCTAGGTTGGAAAGCACCCAGGAATCGCTGTGGTCTCCTCTTGCAGGCTATGCGAAGCAGTGGTCTTCTCTTGTTTCCCTGTGGCCGGTGTCCCTGGAGGGGAGCTGGAAGCTTTTTGGATCCTGAGATAAAGGCTTTCCTGGAGGAGAACACTGAAGTCACCAGCAGTGGTAGCCTCACCCCTGAAATCCAGTTGCGGCTTTTGACCCCCAGATGCAAATTCTGGTGGGAGAGAGCTGACCTGTGGCCCCACAGTGATCCTTACTGGGCAATCTACTGGCCAGGAGGCCAAGCCCTGTCTAGGTATTACCCTATTGAAACCTTTAAGGCGGTACAGATCTTTGCTCTTTCAGTCCCCTCCAACTCCAGCCTCTACAAAAAACCACAGCAGGTCTGGGCGTGGTGGCTCATGCCTGTAGTTTCAGGCATGAGCTCAAAGATTCCCTCTTTTATTGGGTGCAGTGCCTGTAATCCCAGTGTTTTAGGAAGCCAGTGCAGGAGGACAGCTTGAAGTCAAGAGTTCGAGACCAGCTAGGCAACATAGTGATACCCCTGTCTCTACAAAAAAAAAAGTTTTTTTTAATTAGCCAGGTGTGGTGTCTTGTGCCTGTAATCTTAGCAACTCAGGAGGCTGAGGTGGGAGGATCACATGAACCCAGGATTTCTAGGTTACAGTGAGCTGTGACTGCACCATTGCACTCCAGCCTGGGTAATAGAGTGAGACCCTGTATCTATTTTTAAAAGAGAGAATAAAAGTCTCAGTGGCTCATGCCTGTAATCCCAGCACTTTGGGAGGCCGAGGCCGGCGGATCACTTGAGGTCAGGAGTTCAAGACCAGCCTGGCCAATGTGGCGATAGAGTAAGGAAAAAATCCCTCTTCTCTAGAGGCTTGTTGAAAATTTAGGACTTGAATCTGCGTTTTAATCCCCCCTCCCCATCTTCTAACTCTCCATATTGCAGAGGTCTTAGGGCATTTTCTCACATAGCCACACTATACTTCTTATTGAAACACAGCTGATGAAATAAAGGCAAGAGCTTTTTGCATTTTGATCTAGTCTTTGTTGTAGGATTGGTAAATGATTTCGTCTGTTTATGCCCTGTGGTTCTAAAGCTGTGAAACAAAAAAGGTGATAAGGACTTCTGTTTCACAGGAATGGTATAGCCTACGTAATTAGTGTTATATGTAGTTTTAAGTAAAATGTGTAAATGAAAACATAGAGCTTTTGGTTGGAAATTCCAAGGACTGAAAAGCTTTCCAGCTGGTACAAAGTAATGCCAACTTTCTGATTGTTGTGTTGCTAGATTTTCAAGCTTTATTTAGTTACATCATAGTTTTAGAATGCTGACATCTTAAGTGATATCTGTTAAAGTGACTATCAACTTGAAATAAAATCAACTTCTTTAAGAGACTGAGTTAGATGTCATAAATTGGTGACCCATAGGTGTGTTTTGTTTGACCTGTACTTATAAACTTCAAAAAAATTATTTGCTGATATTTAAAACTGGCGAGATTTCATGTAAAAATTGACTTTGCTTTGAAAAACAGGGATACCTGGTAAACAGGGATTCTGTGTGGCAACAGTGAGCTGAAGATGGGTAGCAGCTATTTATTTACTTATTTAGAGGTGGAGTTTTGTTCTCGTCATCCAGGCTGGAGTGCAATGGCGTGATCTCAGCTCACTGCAACCTCCACTTGAACCACTCCGGGTTCAAGCAATTCTTCTGCCTCAATCTCCCGAGTAGCTGGGATTACAGGTGCCCTCCACCACACCTGGCTACTTTTAGTATTTTTAGTAGAGACGGGGTTTCACCATGTTGGCCAGGCTGATCTCAAATTCCTGACCTCATCTTCCCAAAGTGCTGGGATTACAGGTGTGAGCTACTGCACCCAACCTATTTATTTATTTAGAGATGGAGTCTCACTCTGTTGTCCAGGTTGGAGTGCAGTGGTGCAATCTCAGCCTACTACAACGTACACCTCCCAGGTTCAAGTGATCCTCCTGCCTTGGCCTCTCAAGTAACTGGGATTATAGGCACCCGCTGGATAATTTTGTATTTTTTTTTTTTTTTGAGACGGAGTCTCGCTCTGTCACCCAGGCTGGAATGCAGTGGTGTGATCTT